GTCATAATTGCTTTTCACCAGGTTGCTTTTTTTTCTCTCCCCCCATCACAAAGAACCTTAATCCCGGGGAAGACCGCAGGACGTGATGGGGGTAGTTTCTGAGGTGTGTGTGGGGCGGGTGGTCTGGAGCCGCAGCTGATAACTGGCCAGTTCAATGGGACTTTAAAACTGGGGCAACTCCCAGCAATTACTCGAGGACAAAGGCTTGGGGCCCCCCAGGTGTGGAGGACTGGATTGGGGGGAGGAGGCTGGGAAGGAGGTTATGTTGCTGCAGGGGTGGGGGTGTCTTACAATCCCTCTGATTTCCGCAGGAATTTGAGACATTCTAAAAGACTGGGCTGCCTCCCCCCAGCCGTGTCCTGGGCCCACCCCCACCCTCCCTCTTGGGTTAGAGACGGCTTCAAAGGTGGATGGGCCTTTGTCTTGCCTCTGCTTTCTTCTAGGCCTTCCTCCAGCCCCTCCCTCCCTCTCTTTGACTCCCCAGCACAGACAGGCCTCTGGGGGCCGGCTCCAGAAAGCCCTCACTGTTTCCATCCTTGCTTTTGGAGGTGAGACCTGGCAGGCAGGGATGGAGCACTGGGGAAGGGTGAGGGAGGGCGGCTTTGGAGGCCTGTGCACCTCGGGTGCCTTCGCCCGAGCCGCGCCCCAGCCAGGTGGCCGACATCTTCCTTGGCTGGGTTCAGAACCTTCTCCTTCCTCACCTCTTGATGTCCAGGTCCCCTGCTCTTTCCTGTCCTGGGGAATTGTGCCCAGCTCATTCCTTCCAAACCTAGGATGACATCGAAGATGCTGGAGAGAAGCCTGAGGAATAGATCTTTAATAAGAAGTCTGGAGGGGGCTAGGGATTTAGCACAGTGGCTCCCTGCCTGCCTCAAAAGCACAAGGTCCTGAGTTTGATCCCCAGTACAAAAAAAAATGGAGAGAGGTAAAGTGCAAGCTTGAGTGTGGTGGGGAAGAGGCTTTTTGATGGATTTAGACCACACCTGTCTTCAGAGACCTGGGTTACTTCCTGTGCCCGAGGTCCTAAGCAGGTGGGACCTAGGGGCGGCCCCAGGCCCTTGCTTTGGGGGCTAATAGAACCCATCCATCAAGAGGAGGTGACACGGCAGAGACTGGCCTCAAACCCTGGGCCTGTTTAGGATCACTTAGAGCTCTAAGAATAGCCCACATATTCATCTCTTCCTTCTCTGTGCTGTCCTCCAAATGATCAGATGAGGCCCAGGCGACCGCAGCAGAGATGTCTATGCACTTTTTAGGCCATACAAGTATCTCTACGTCACACTGTCCAACCTTGTCCCACAGATGACTGTGGCCGGTGGCATCCTGGTCACCAAGCCAAAAGCCTTAGCTCAGTCCTCAGTCTTGTCCCTGGCAGCATGTGACCTCCCGTCCCTTTTTTTGTGGTAACTGGGGATGGAACTCAGGACCTTCACATTGAGCTGCAATCTTAACCCTTTTTTAGTTTTCTGTTTGTTTATTTGTTTTTGAGACAGGGTCTTGCTGAGTCACTAAACTGGGTTGGAACTTTGGATCCTCCTGCCTTCTCCTCCCAGTGCTGGGATTACAGGTGCCTGCCCACCACTTCTTGAACTTCTGTCCCCCTCTGCCTGCAGTGGGTGATCCTCCCTGGCTCCTCCTTTGGAAACAAGGCCCTGAGATTGATTTCTTTCTTGTGATCCTCCCTGGCTCCTCCTTTGGAAACAAGGCCCTGAGATTGATTTCTTTCTTTCTTTCTTTCTTTCTTTCTTTCTTTCTTTCTTTCTTTCTTTCTCTCCTTCCTTCCTTCCTTCCTTCCTTCCTTCCTTTCTTTCTTTCTTTCTTTTCTTTCTTAAGATTTCTTCACACTTCAGCCATCACACATTGCCCCCACCGCCTTCCCTCCTAGTCTCTGCACTCCCAATGCAGAGTGCCCTGGGCTCTGTCAAAACTACTGCTCTGGCTTCTTACACAGTCTGTCCACTCCAGGCCACTCCTTTTGGCATGTCACGCCCCTGGCTTCCCTGGGCCACCTACTGCTCAGTACCACTCTGCCCAGGCCATCCCAGCAAACGCCTAGCATGGATCCCCTGCCCCTCCACAGTGCTGCTGCCACATCCCCTCTGGCCTGCCTGCTCATCTCACGGCCTCATGCTGCCCCTGTCTCTGCTGTGCTGCTGCTCTGCCGGCCATTCAGTGACCCTCCCTCACGACACAGCACAGCTGTCCAGATCCTCACTATTCTCCGCTGTGAGGTGGCTCTGCTGGGTGGTGAGGGTCTCTGATGTAGAAATGGTCAGTGTTTGCCTGCCCTGTGGCCCCAGCACAGGCTCACAGGGGAATAATCCAACTTTAGCCCCAGAAAGAAGTCACTGCCCAGAGCCCTGATGTCCCTCAAGGAGTAGGCAGGATTTTTTAAAAATGTATTTATTTCTAGCAGAACGTGGCAGCCTACGCCTGTAAGCTCAGCATGCAGGAGGCTAGGGTAGGAGGATCTCCATGAATTGGCCAGCCTAGAATATAGAGTGAGACCCTATCTCAAAAAGAAAAAAAAAATTTCCTAGTATTCAAGCACTACACCAACCCTTCCTTTAATTAAAAAATGGGCAAGATAGAGCTCTCAAACACTTGTATTTTAACTGGAGGGATAAGCCTGTAAAAAGAGCTCTTTCATAGGACTTTTGGAGCTACCTCTTTCTTGTTGGTGGTAATGGGGATTGAATACAGGGTGAGTACTCTCTAGCACGGAGCTATATCCCCAGCCTTTTTTGAGACAGAGTCTCACTATATTGTCTAGGCTGGCCTGGAACCTGGGATCCTCCTGCCTCAGCCTCCCATGTGGCTGGGATTATAGGCATGTGCCACCAAGGTGGACTCTCTCTTCTATTAAAAAATAAGAAAACAGCCTTTGGTACATTCTGGAAGAGTGGAAGAGGGAACAAGAAATATGGAAATCAGAATCCAGATGGCACTGCACTCCAGAGCAGTTGCAGGCAGCACGAAACCCATGTTTAGGAGAGAAAGATGGTTCTCCTATGTCATCTAAGGGCAGGCTCACCGTCGGAGTGGGCATGGCCAGTGAGTGCTCACGCTACATTCTCCTCTTCAACACCAGAGATCAGGGCTTTCTGCTCCCCTGCCAACCCAGTGGCCCAGTGGTTGCTGGGGTCAGATAGCAGGAGACAGGAGTCTGGGAGGACTCTGGAAAAGCTAGGCTTTGCATGGCTACATGTGTTAAGCTGGAAGTGGCAGGAAATAGTTGAATCAGATTATGAAGATTGGAATCGTGTGCAGGCAACAGCCTGTAATCCCAGCACTCGGGAAGCTGAGGCAGGAGGATCACCACAAGTGCACGGTCAGTCTGGGCTACATAGTTCAAAGCCAGTGAGACCCTGTCTCAAAAAACAAACCCAAAACCACAACTTTTGGTCTTGGTGCTATGGCAGGGAGGGGCAGCAAAGGGCTCTGAATTCTGGTGATGGCAGTATTCTGGGGGCGGAGGTTCAAGGTCCTGGAGGCTGAGTGTCCAGGGCCCAAAGGGAAGGGGATGTGGCCTTTTGTCTCTGATGAGAAAAGGTCACTTTGGGCCCTTGTCCTTCCTTTTCCTCCTCTGGCTGGACCTTCATCATCTCTCCCTCTTCCCTGGGTGTCCTGGCTATGCTGAGGAGTTAATATTTAGACAGCAGAGTGGGGTGTGCTCCCCTCCCCAGTAGGTTGTCTGTTCATGGAGTGAGACACAAAGTCTCAGAGAGGCCTGTGGGGTGGGCCTGGGGGAGAGGGTGAGCAGCAGGGCCGGAGTCCACTCAAGACTTCTGGCACCAGTGAGTTTGCTGGGGAAAGGGGCCAAGAAGCAGGGGCCTGGGGACCCCAACTTGCCTAAGAGGGGCAGGAGCCCTGGCCGCTGTTGACGCTCTGGGACACCTGGTGGGTCCCTACCAGCAGGGTAGGTGAGGAGGCTGGGATGGCACCTCGGCTCAGGGCTGCCTGCCTCTGTTGAGATTTGGCCTCTCCTCCCCTCTGGCCTTCAGCTCCCTGGACTGGGGAGCCCGGGGCCTTTCCCAGCGGAGGAGGCAGGAGGAAGAAGAGCCCAGTGGAGTGGACAGTGGGCCAGAGTGTGGCACTCACACATGCAAACCAGGCTCCCTCCCAGCCGGGAGTGACCTTGGCAGCTGCCACTACTCAGATCAGCAGAGGGACTCACTCTGCAGTCCCCCACCCCCGGGGATCCAGAGCTGTCTGGGTCTGAGACTGTTCCTGCCCACAGCAGCTGGCCCTGTGGTGGGACCCAGAGACAGGGGCTGGAGTCTTGGGGGGGGTGGAAGAGAGCTTTCCAACACTTGGGCTTTTCTGTAGGTGGAGGAGGGCAGGGAGGGAGGGCTTGGAATGAGAGATGCCTGGGTATAACAGGTACACCATCCCAGCCAGGGTCACTGCTCCATCGCTCCCTGGTCTCCTCGCCCTTCCCCAATTGGGCATCCCGGGATGGGGCAGCCTCCAGCATGCTGTGTCCCCCTTCAAGACCAGCCTGCTCTCTGGCCCTGAATAGGGCACTCTGGAGCCAACCCTGGCTCTTACAGAGGTGCTGGGGGAGGGGAGGCTTGGTGGGACACAGTGGGAGCCCCAGCCCAGCACCCAGAGGCGCTGCAGGCCCCTCCCTCCATCCCTGAAGAAGAGGCCATAGGAGCCACAGCTTCCTCCTCCCTCCTCCCCACCGCCTGCCGTGGAGCCAGGCCTAGGCTGCAGGCAGGTTGTCTTGGCAACGGGAGGCGGAGAGGAGATGCGCCTGGAGATGGAGGTGTATGTCACCACGGAGGCTGCTGCGCTCCTGCCCCACGCCCCAGGCCCTTGAAGGTACCAGAACCCTCCCCTCCTGCTCCCCTCCTCCCGCCCTCCTTTCTCTGACTCCCCCCACTCTGTTCGTCCTACACCACGGGCCCACGCTGTTCCCTGTGCTCCCTGTTCCGACGATGAGCCTCTCCTCCTCCCAGCCCAGCAACCCCTCCCCAGGGGGCTCACAACCCACCTCGTTCAAGGCCCCCGTCCACAGCTGTCCTTCCTGGGCATCCACTCTGCCCAACCCTTCCTCTGAGGACCCTTGTACCAGAGGACAGGTCTCCTGGGTGGGGTCTGGGGAGAGCCGGGGCAGCAACCCAGGGGTGGGAACATAAGAACCCTAAAGGGCCGAGGTGGCAAATCCCCTGATCGTGCTCGGTCTCCCAAGGGATGCAGGGGAGACGTTTTGGATCAGAGAGGGGCTGGTCCTCACCTCTCTCTTGTCTCTCAAAGCCTGATTCCAGGGCAGTAGGGTGGGGCGGAAGGGACTGAACTCGGAGAGGCTGGGGTGAGGCTGGGGCTGACTGTGGGGAAGGCCAGGCAGCTCCTCCTCCGTGGCTGCGGCCCCCTCCGCCATGTGAAAGGCGAACCCCTCCCGTATCACCGCCGGCCTTTAGCTCCGTGGTTTTGGGGACCGATGTTTCTCCCCTCATCCCTGGCTTTCTCTGTACCTTCCACAGGGCCCTCCCCTCCCCAGCCAGCAGCTAAGCCTGATCCTTTCTCCCTGCCTTGTCATTCTTTCTTCCTGGAGCCACCCTTCAGGTCACAGTCTCCTCTGTCTTCTACTCACCCAGATAGCCCTCCCTTTCTGTGCCCTCCTGTGCTCTTCTCTTTGAGGAAAAGATCCTGGGGTACACTCTCACCTGTCCCCCTCAAGACCTTCCCCCATGCTGTTAACGTTCAGATACTGCAGCGCCCCCTCCCCAGATTCTAAGTTTCCCCAACAGCCGCTGATACCATCAGCTGACCGGCTCTGGGCAGCGGTTACCAGGGCAACAGCAAGGCTGCCTAGGTAGGCAAGTCTGCAGGCGGTGGAGGTGGTCAGGAAGTAGGGCCGGCCAGTGCGGATCCGGGCCATTGCTAGGCCGTCACCTCCTCCTCCCCAGGGTCACCCCAGGACCAGCGACAAAGGCCTAGGGTGGTCAAGGTTTTGCCAGACACAGGTGGCAGAGGAGGTTGTAAATTCTGTGCCGGAATTGGGGCCACCTGGCAGGAATTTCCCGTTCCTAAAGCTGCCTCGGGAAAAAAATGGGTCCTTCATTCTTTCTGTGCTGCGACCTATTGCTATTCACGGGAGATTCAGATTACTAAGGGCCAGCCTGAGCCTCTGCGGCCAGGGACGTGGTGTCTCTCGTCCTTCCACTTGTCCCACAAGAGGGCTAATGACAGATTCTGGTATCTCTGCCTGCACCCAACCCTGAGGGGTGGGACCCCAGGGGCCTCTGCTGCTGCTGCCAGAGGATGGGGCGCTGTGAATGGGACAGGAGGTGCAGTGGGGAGCAACGCACTGCTCCCCCCCCCGCCGTCATCAGTTACCCCCCCAGCAATTTAAGCTCTGGCTGTGGATGAGAAGGCCTCAGGGGCTGGGTGTGAGTGTGAGCACGAGCGTGGTGTGAATATTGCGCTGCTGGGAGTGTGGCAAAGGGTTTTGAAGAGGACAGCGCCCGATTCTGCTTCGTCACGATGCCGGTTAATGCTCCTCTTGTTTGAGGTGGATTGAGCCGCCCGCCCGCCCGCCGAGGTGGAAGGCAGCGCATCCAAACACACACGCCCGGCCGTCACTATCAGCTGGAGGCGGGAGGGAGCAGGAGGGTGTGGGGCACCGGCGCGGCCCACCCACCGGGCACGCGGGAACCTAAGCTTGTGGCTCTCGGAGCAGCAGGGTGGGGGCGCGGCGGGGTGGGGGCCCAGAGGGGAGATCCGACTGCTCTGGGCTCTGCGGGGACCAGCT